CGTATTCTCGTGCTGCTAAATTAAGCGACGATTATGGTAGATCCCTGCATAGCTAGCTTTTTTGACAAAACTGCACGGGGCGTATAATATGTAACCCCCCCCCGTCCAGCCAACTTTTTTTTTGTACAAGTAAAATCAACAAAAGGAAGATTTTGCCTTTTTTTTTTTTCTACAACACCATGGTTGGCACGAGGTGACGATTTCAGGAGCGGGAATTTTTCTTTTTTTTTCCAACTCTGCAAGTGTTACCCACTTTTGGAAAAAAAAAAAAAGAAAAAAAAAAAGGATGAATTGTTCCATTTTAAGGCTATACTTTTGAATGCCATTTTGAATTCCATTTTCTGCCATCCTCACGCCAACTGTGTTTCCAATTTTTCCGTGCCCACGCGAACGCTTAAAAAGGCGACGTGGTCGCAGTCGGCAACATCCCCCCGAAGTGCAAGGAGGAGAGGAAACTCAGCACGGTTGGTTGTTAACTCAACTTGGGGGGGCACAGCCCATTCATGGAGACGGGGCATGCATTTTGTTTACCAGTCCGGGAAACTGCGCAACCGGAGAGGTTACCTGCCCCTTACGATTTATGCATCTGGCAGTGTTGTGACGTGGAGACGGCAACTCCGAACCGAAGCGATTTGTGTGAAGTTTTCCCCGACTGGAAAGAAACTTTCTCCAAGAAAGTGAACCTTCTGAGTGTCCCATTTAGTTGCTTCACCAATCGACTCTACATCTCAGCATGTTAAGATTTTATGAGGCAAAGAATTTGAAGCGCATTAGTGGGACATAACTGCCAGGAAGAGGTGAAAGAGCTGCACGTTGCAGTTGCGGAGGGGTGCCTTTGAGAGGATAACCCAAAGGGGAATAGCCTTTTTGGGAATACTACACAGGTGAAGGTATCCCATTGGGGAAAATCCTCTTCCGCGTGGTCTCACTTCCTGCGCCGCTACCCCCCGCACCCTCCACCAAATGGTGAGGCACAAAGCGTACGTGAGCCGGGAGTTCCGGCCGAATACCTTCCGAGGCGAGACTAAGGAGCAGGAGAACGCGAGGATAGCAGAGTTAAACCAACTGGAAGAAGAGCTAGCCAAAAACCAGTACACCAGCAAGCTGCACAAGGAGTTGCTTCTTCAAAACGTCAATTTCGACAAAGAAGCAAAGGTACTGAAACTACACTTGGCAGGAAATCTAATCAAAAACAAGCCTATAGTGAGCAGGAAAAATATTGCCTATGTTAGTAGCGAAAGTGGAATCCTACTAATCGATTTAAAAAAAAAAAAAAAAAAAAAAATAGTCACCTCGTTCTTTATAGATAGCATATTTTATTTTCTAGACAAAAAAACAAAACAAGAATATTTAGTTTTGAAAAGTTTCAATAATTACATTTACCTGTATCTGATCAGTGATAGAAAGTTTCATTTTGTGAAAAAATTTTTCATCAAGAATTTATTCTATATAAACAGCTTTGGGAAAAATGGCGAATTGTGTTTCGCTACCTGGGAGTTTGATCCGGAGGGGAAAAAGATGTTCATGAATTTTTACCTCCTCAGATTTGTTTTCAACTATGAGTCTCCCCTGTGTTACTTAAATGGGGAGATACATGAGGCGGAGAAGCCTGAGGTGGGAAGGACTCAAGTGGGTGAGACTCAGATGGGGACGACTCAGATGGGGACGACTCAGATGGGCGAGTCCTCCCCACCGACGCACGTGACGTACACGTTTTCCTCAGACTCGGAGGACTCCTTCAAGAAGGAAGTATTTCCGTGCGAGTTGATGGTGAGCAGTTCGGATGGGGAGGAGGAGCAGCGGAAAAAAGTCCCTGCATCACCGCTTGCCCATTTGAACGGCGCACACACGCAGAATGACAACGAGTATGGAAGCCAAATCAACGGATTTCTTCCCCGCGGTGATGGAACAACTGCGAAGAGGCAGAAGACAGAAATGAAGCCACAGAGGGGGATCCCAAATGGACGAAGACAATCGATGCACGTTACCGCGAAGGTGAAAATAATGCCACTTGTGAAGATAAAGTATATGTACTTCTCCATGGTAGACATGAACCCAAGTCTTACGAAGCTGGTGCTAGCCAATAATAACCTGGTCGTCGTATACGACACCGTGAAGAGGAGATACAATCTGCTTTATTTTAAGAGTTTCATTTCTGCTGTAAAATTAAGTGATGAAAATTTTCTCTGTATTGGATTTCTCAATGGATTTATACACATCTTTCTGTTTGATCAAGTGACGAAGGATGAAGGCAGTGCGAAGGACATGTTGGGGTGCAATGCCTTTGTGGGAGAAGCCTTCGGAGGGGGGAACGACTCCGCGCGAAAGGCGAACTTTATGTCCTTGTTGAAAGCGATCGAAAATGCTTACCCTTACATCCCAGGGTATGAAGTGGAATACTACGGGAAGAGCGGAGAGTTGCCCGGTGAGGGTGGGGCAGAAAGGGCCATCCAGAGCAGCGCCAGCATCCCCTACATCAACTTCCAACTGCGGAAAGACAAAATCGTCGACATGCAGAAGGCAGACATAGTGAAGTACAAGTGGCACAGCCACGCAGTGTATAACATAACTATCGACAGAAGGAAAGTAATCTCCTGTGGAGAGGAAGCCGTTTTGCTCATTTACGACATAGACAGTGGCATGACCGAGTTTATTCCTCACCTGGGATCCCCCTGTTACTACACCTACGTGAATAAAGAGAAAAACCTAATTATCTGCAACTCGCTGAACAATACGATTCACTTTATCAATTACAACCACCGTTTGTTTTTCTATTCATATGTCGGTCTGTACATGCCCCTTTCCTTGAGACACCTGTTTTTGAATTACTCCAATGTATACGAGGGCATAAAAAATAGCGTTAAGATTTTCGAAGAACAGATTTGCAGCTCGTACGATTACTCCCTGGGGTGGCGCGCGCCTTCTGGTGCTCTGCTGGCGGAGGAGGACGTCACCATGGGGGTCCTTAACGGGGATACCTCAACGAATTCCATAGCGAATTGTGAGGAGGACCAACGTGACAGTAAGGGGACGAGTAGCGATTGCACGGGGAGCAGTGACCCTGGGGAGAACTTCGAGGATGGCGCCATGTCGGGGGGGCAGCCCTTGGGAAGCCTGCCAGGAAGCGACCGTCGCTCCAGGGCAAGAGAACTACGAGACGACCTCCTAGCAATCCCAGACGAAGGGATAGAACTGAGTTCCTGCGGAGAAGACGAACTGGGCGCGTCTCACTCGAAGGTGGCTCACTCCAACGCGGCGAGAAAGCAAAAACGGAAGGAAAAACCCATCATAAGTTTCAAGCAAATCCAGGAAGACATCGAAAGGAGCATTTACAATCATACGAATGTACAGAATAATCTGTACAAAAAATATCAAATGCAATTTTATTGTGACTCCAACAGGGGGTTGGTTTTCTCCTTCTTAACATCCTTCTGCAATATTCAACTGTACAATGTGGAAAAAGATAAACACATAAAGTTTGTGTGTCCCTTACAGGTGACGTACAAAAGTAGGTCCAATGTTGAGGCTGTGAACGATTTGGAGCTTCTTTTCTTCTCCTTCACTGAGAGTAGGCATTTACTAATGACCATCGAGAGGAGGAACTACCAACTGGAGGAGGTCTGTGGGAACGACGCCAACGCGTTGGTGCAGACTTTGTACACCTTCAAAATCTGGAGGATCGTGAGCAACCATTTGGACTATGAGCCAGTTTATGAGCAGTCCATCACATGTGACCAAGTGGGAGAAGCACATGCACGGGGAAGCGGTGAAGAACAGTACCCACCCAATTGCAGAGAACACCCTGGGGAGGAACCACTAGAGAAGTACAGATTGATCGTGAGTCATCCCTTCCTCAGCATTTTCCTCGTACTGGAATGCGATGGAGATATAACTGTTTGGTGCTTGGAAAAGAGCGAGCGTATTTTCGAGGCCAGCGTGTCCAAAGACTACGAGGTGGATGTGTACCAGACGCAGGACAGGAGCAGCTACTACAGGGAGCTGCGGAGGTTGAATCACCTGGCAAGTGTGTACGGGGGGGACATTGGTGATAGCACAGAGAAAAGCGGCCAGGAGCCACACCTTAAGAAGGATTACCAGAAGGGGAGAGCCAATCAAGGAGACGCCAATGAAGAAGAAACCAACCAAGGAGATGCCAACGAAGGAGATGGCGACCAATGGGACGATAACCAAACCGTCACAGTCATTAAACGAATAAACCACAAGAACCACCCCATCTTAGGGGGGGACATCACTAGCGACGGGAAAATCCTTTGCATCTGTCATGACAGATTCATAACCATATGGGACACAACTACACTGAGAGTGCTGGCAATAATTAGTCACGCCATTTACACGGGCCTCAATGAGTTCCTATTTAGACTTTACAAAGGAATAGAAATCATTCAGACGGACACGGACAAAGGAGAGGCAAAAGGACATGTGCCGCACATGTGCTTCTTCGCATTCGACTCCATTTTTATTTACTCGCTACATGAGTTCCACCTGGTTTATCAGAAGAAAATAAAAAACGGAATCATCGAATACGTCAAGTTTGACAAGTACAACTGCAGGTTTGTGGCCATTGGTGTTACAAAGAGGCTTAGAGATGGGAGCAGCCAAAGGAGAGGCACCAGAGCAAATAGCATTGTACAGAGGAACTACCTCTACGAATTCACTTCCAACGTTTTGAAAAAGAGGAAGTTATTCTACTCGTCGAGGGATAGGCCAATCGTGGCTTTGGATTTTGCCCCCCTCAACGAGAGGAAAAACATCTCCCTCAGTAGCTTCCAGCCGTCCACATTGTTGGTCACTCTCAACTCCAAGTTCCAGGTGTGCACCTTTTATTTTAATAACTACGCGGAGTTTATGCAGCTCTCGTGAGTTTGTGCGCAGCAGGACGTGCTCCCTCTGTACAGCCGGTCTTATGGAGATCTCCTCATTGAGAAGTCCTCTTTTTGAGCGCTTCCTATTCTTCCCTTTGCACGCCAACCAACATTTGCTAACTTATATCCCCACAAAATTAAGTAACTTACGTGAGGACTTCCTCCAACGGATACTTCACAAAATGGCCCACTAGGGCGAAGGGGCCGCAGAGGAATTCGCCACTCCGCTGGCCTGTGCCGCGCAACAGCGCAGAAAAACCAGATACTCCTCTTTTTATGTGTACCAAATGGATCTCATCCCCACATTGTCACCACGAGGTAGCCCTTCACTAAAGGTGACTCCATCGCGTTTTTTTTTTTTTTTTTTAACCTATAAAAATACAGGTTATGAAGAGATGCTATGTGTTCAAGGAGAAAAAAGCATAATAATTACTTTAATAAGCGCTTATAATAGTTAGCAGTTATTGCTATATATTTATGGTTGAAATAAAAATATTGCTTTCTACGCCTATGTTAGATGAGAAGTATTGCTATAGAATATAGCGTATATTGTTCCATGTCGAAAAATTATAGAACATGTAATTATAAGACTTAGTTGGTTTAGTAATTTTTTTCTCTACGTTCTCTTTCCATTAGTTAATAACGCTTATTCGCTTTTATTATTTGACACGTTTGCTAGAACATTAACAGTTTTATTCGAAATTTTAAAAAAGAACGATTCGTTATGAAGAAACATCTTAAGTAAGCACGAATTTAAAATAATGTAATAAGTTAAATCTGTTGCTTTTGAATTATGTATTCAAATTACATGCAGGCAGAATCTAAAAAAAAAGGGATTCGCAAATGCTTGTTATTTAAAGTCTTTTCCATATATAGACTTGTATACATTTTGAAAGGGGACGATATAAGCGGTTTATGTATATATATATATGTGCGTAAAGGGTTCATATCACTCATGTATCATTCTGCTGCACGATAAAGAAAACAGAGAAAACATTACCTTATCTGTATAGG